AAATAGTTCTGTTCCTATCTAACATTAGCAGCGAATCGATTTCACCCATGGCTACTAGTACAATACCTCCACTAGGAACCGGTTCGTTAAAGGTCATCCGTATACTTGTTGTACCATTCTTTATTAAATCAAACATCTCTGGGCCATTATCTTCCTGGCTATTTGTAAGGTTAAATACGAAGAAGCAATATCCTGCATATGCATAACGAAACATTGATATACCATTACTTTCTAGGGATCCCGCGTACCCTATTGCTTCTTGCATGTCATGATAAATTCTAGCATAGTTTCCTTTAGGAAAATCAAGGGAATAAGGGGCTGCTGGAAAAGTTACTCCTCCAGCAGTAATGGAAATATCTCTCAAATTAAAGTGTTGAAAATAAAATGGAGTTCTTTTTTGCCGTCCTACAAAATCTTTATTATCAACCATTCCCAGTATAATTCTTCGGGGCACCTGATCCATCCATAGGTTAGCATTAAATTCTGTTCTATTTTCACTGATGAATAAAGATTTCAGAGATGTTTTTCTTATCGGGTATCTCGCGGGTTTTATTTCAAGTTTTTTCGCAATATCAAAGGCTAAGCTGTCCATCAATTCAATCTTCTTTACATATAATTTGCAAGCCAAAATTTCTAGATGATATTTTGGGGCAGTGTCCCAGGGAGCACTAAGCAGGAAACTTGATTCATTGGGCAAAAGTTCAATATCAACTTCGCATTGGTTTACTAAATATCTTGGTTGATTACAAATATCAACATCCAGTTTGGCCATAAATTGTGCAGTACGCGGATTTCCATCTTCGTCTAAGAATAATCTTTTCCTTGATTTAACTCCATATCCATTAGAATCAATTCCTGGGTATGTTTGAGTGGGTCCATCATCATAATATCCCGCCACAGAAAGATAAGAGTTCTTCACACTTTGTGGGTAGGTTAGTTCATAGTCAAAAATACTTTTGTATGCCATGAGGGAGTTCCCTTCAAAAACCTGAGTTCCATTAATATGCATACGGCAATTTTTCCAAAGTGTGTGGCCTATAAGTTGCACTGCCGATACATTATCATCCTTTCCTATATCAACAAGTTTCCCATCTTTGTCCTCTTTTTTAATCCTAAGTTCAGTAAAAACATAAGTTTTGGCCAGATCAATATAATTTGTAGTCGCATGAATTTTGAAATGAAAAGGGGTGATATTTACAGGGTTGAGTGTGAGTAATTCAATAAATGAGGAGTTGCTAATACTGACATTTGTGTGGGGGGTTTCGAAAAATGATAAAGCAGTTGTTATTGCGTTGCCAGAATCGCGATCAATTTTCTGATGAGTAGACATTTTTATTTAATAAAGACCGAATGTATCTATTTTTTGACGCTTCTTTTTTGGGGTAAGAGATGGAGGTCTGCCAATAATGAGTTGATGACTATTTTCTTTTGAAAATGATGAATGGGGTTTACGTTTTCTTTTGAGTCCTTTTATACTACCTTTGGCTCGCAATCCGGTTCCAAATTGTTTTGGCAATCCTCCTTTTTCGAGTAATCTGTCCAAACCCCGTTTTCCTTCACTTATTACTGTCTGCTTAAAATTTGGGTTAGAATCTTCTTTGCCATATTCTGGATTCCCCACACTTTCTAAAATTCTTCCACCAGTATCCAATGCCTCCTTTGCTACAGCTGTACCCGCGCGTTTTGCATACGGTAGGAGGAAACGCCAAAAATTTCTGAGTACATCTCCGACTCCACCACCCGCTTGTCTCCCGTATCCACGTTGATAAGGATTTAGTCCACGAAAATAGTAATAGTTTTCATCTGCGCCTTGTCCTACTTGGCTGATAGATATATGATGGTCGTCGTAACCGATTGTCCTTGGGTCAAAGGCTATATGAACCATGTTTGGCTTGGTTTGGAATGTTATGTAGAATTAAGTTAAGTGATCTATTGTAGTTATCTTAAGTGATAATTGTAGGATAGTGTTAGGGATAAATGAAAGTTATATAAATTAATTGAAGGTGTTTAAATTTTATATTATTTTAAATGAAGAGATAAATTTAAGAGAGAATGTGAAGGTGATCTTTTGAACATTGACATGCTAAGTGTTGGCGAATTGGGAGTTGGCATTTTGTCGTTGTGGCATTTTGTCGTTTTGAGATTTCGAAATCTTCGTCGTTTTGAGATTTCGAAATCTTCCCCTTACATTCTTACTTCCGCCCTTTTTTTCAAATCATTTTAATATTTTTGTAAAATTTTGTAAAAATTTATCTCTCCCTATTTTTTATTTTTTAATTAATTTATTTTTATTTTTATTATTTTTAAAACTACCGTACCCCGGACCCCTGCCCCCAACTTTTTTCAGTCCCAGACTGAAAATCCCTGACTCGAAAATTTCAGTCCCAGACTGAAATTCCCAGCCCAAAATATTTCAGTCCCAGACTGAAATTCCATTCTACTACAAGAAGAATAATTTTTCCCGCAAATGACCTTGAGAGGGAAATCTTCCTCCTCTTCCTCCGCAGACTGCGCCGAGATTTCAGTCCTAGACTCATTAATCATCGATCAATTAGATAAGATCTTGAGAATTTGAAATAATTGGTTACCTCCCCCTTACATTTTGACTTCCACCCTTTTTTGCAAATCATTTTAATTTTTTTGTAAAATTTTGTAAATTTTATCTCTCCCTATTTTTTATTAAATTTATTTAATTTATTTTTTATTTAATTTATTTTTTATTTAATTTATTTTTATTAATTTTACCGTATCCCGGACCCCAAAATATTTCAGTCCCAGACTGGAACCTTGTACCTGCATCTTGTACTTGTACAAGGTACAAGTACCTTGTACAAGTACAAGGTACAAGTACCTTGTACTTGTAATCAATCAAATTAATCTGTCACCCATCAATCAAAATTTGGCAATCCGGGAACCTGGAAGTACCCCACACCCTTTGGTTTCCCTTGATCACGCCGCCAAACTCGGACAAATGGGACTCGGACAAATGGGACTCGGACAAATGGGATTTACTTGTACCTGTCAATCAATCACTTGTACCTGTCAATCAATCAAAATGACAACTCGGACAAGTGGGATGATTAATTACCCCAAACCCCTTGGTTTCCCTTTGATCATGCCGACAAACTCGGACAAATGGGATGAGTAATTGCCCCACACCCTTTGGTTTCCCTTGATCTTGCCGACTGAAACCTCCTATACCTTTTGATTTTTGCCGACAGACCCCTCCCCCACCTAAATGTCCGAAAAATAGGTCGGACATTTGGGGGGGGGGGTAACTACTCAAGTGCTAGACGTCAACGTTCATTTTTAAGAGATAGGCGTCAACGTTCATTTGTCAAGTGATAGGCGGCAACGTTAATGTGTCAAGTGCTAGGCGCAACGTTTATGCAGGCAGAATATTGAACAGGGGGAATTGTGAAGCAGGGGGAGTTGTGAAGCAGGCGGAATATTGAAACAAGGGGAATTGTGAAGCAGGCGGAATATTGAAACAGGCGGAATATTGAATAAGGGGAATTGTGAAGCAGGCGGAATATTGATAAGGGGAATTGTGAAGCAGGCGGAATATTGATAAGGGGAATTGTGAAGCAGGCGGAATATTGAAACAGGCGGAATATTGAACAAGGGGAATTGTGAAGCAAGCGGTATTGTGAGAGGCAAGAGGAATTGGTAAGGAGGCGGAATTTTGAAACAAGATGATTGTGATGCAGGCGGAATATTGAACAAGGGGAATTGTGAAGCAAGCGGTATTGTGAGAGGCAAGAGGAATTGGTAAGGAGGCGGAATTTTGAAACAAGATGAATTGTGATGCAGGCGGAATATTGAAACAGGTGGAATTGCGAAGTAGTCGATATTGTGAGAGGCAAGGTGAATTGTAAAGCAGGCGGTATTGTGAGGCAAGGGGAATTGCGAAGCAGGGGAATATTTAAACAGAGGGAATTGTGAAGCAGGGAGAATTGAGGAGAAAAAATGTGTAAGCGAGAAGGCCGGCCAAAGGCTTTTGAATCGGATCTTGAGTTGAATTGTTTTGTTATGCTAGCGGAGTCACACGACGCCTGTGTGTACCCTATCAGCTGCACCTATTAGATGCTTTGCTTTGTTAAATGTATTGGTAATCAGGAAATGTTTTAATGCTGGTCAATGTCATGATAATCGGGTTTTTGATTATGATTGGATTAGGGCCAATTTTGAGGTTGTGATAAGTTGATTTGGAGTTTGTTTTTTGGTTTGTTTTGTTTTTGCTAGCGGGGTGGGGCGGCCGAAGGCCGACCAACTCCGCTAGTTTTAATATATTGTAAAATATAATACATAAGCTTATTACAATCCTATTGGTGTTGGAAAAAGTATCTTGTAAGGAGGGGTCACTTACAAAATACCGTATTTACTCGATTAATTCCCTGCGGAATTAATATATTAATATTTCAACCCATCCGTGGGGTGGGAAATTATTCGAGGGAGGGGAATTATCTAGGGGTGAGGAATTATTAATTCAACTCATCCCTGGCATGGGGAATTAATCGAGGGTTGGGAATTAATCGAGTAAATACGGTAGACAGCTCCCCCTCTCTCGTCCAAAATGTATCTAAAAAAGATGTTCGACTATAATAATTTCTTAGTTCAAAAATTTTTTTAAATACTTCAAATAATTTTTTAATTAAATTTTTTAAGCTCATCTCCCTGTTGAATATCAACCTTCTGCCGAAAATGAGGACAAATTTTATTTTGATTTAAAATTAAAATGTTCACGACAAGTTGGAATTATACATTTTAAAGAATTAGTGCCTTGGCTATTTTTGGGAATAATTTTTGGAGTTGTATTGATATTAGCTATACGTTCAGAATATAGAAGAAATCCACGGTAATTTTTAGTGGTTTCAAAAGTAAATTTAAAAAAAAATAAAAATTAAAGTTTACGTCTTTTTATTGCCGAAAGTCTTAGAAATGAACGTTTTTTAAATATTAATGTAAAATGGAGAAGGGGAGCAAACGAAAACGTAGAAATGCCGGTTTGTTTTTATTTATATTTTAAATATTTTTTAAAAATCAGACAAATTGGAATGGAAATAATGAAATAAATGATCAGACAAGAATCAATTTATTCTCAACAGTCACTGGATCAGTTTCTGAATTTGTTAATAAAGCATTTTTAAAATCGGCCAAAATTGATGAAAATGAAGAATTACTTGAGGAAGAAGATAAATAATCATTAATTTTTAAATTAAATTAAAAAAAGTCATTAAAAAGTTACTAATTTTTAAATCAAAATAAGAGTCTAAACACTTAGAAAAATCAGATAAAATATCTTGACAAAAGAATGTTTCGAAAGATCGATGGGCATCGAATTTTGGCACGAAAAAGACTCAAACGGCCCGGTTCGATAAAAATGAGGCCCGAAAAAATGACTTGAAAGTCGGCCCGATTCGAAATCTCCAACCCTAATATATACATATGTAGCTGTATTTTAAATGCAAAAACATTTTTGAAATATTTACATCAATTAGGATTTGTCACTCCTGTTCTGAAACTTTGTTTAAAAAAATTTAAATTCCTGTAATTTCCGGTAATTTCACATTTTTGCAGCGGAGGCAAAGATCAATTAATGGCGCAGGCATTACTTTCTCGAAACGCCCTTGATCTAATACATTATCCACATAATTAAGGAAAATGCTTAAATGATTTCCGCATTTAAAGCAAAATTCGACTAAATGAAGCAATTCTGCATATCTTGTTGCTCCTCTTAGTTGACCATAACGTTTCTAATGATAATTTTACATTATTAAAAGACCATAATCATTAGGCTGGGGGCAATTGGGAAAAGATTTCCACAGCCGAAATCCGTAACTCTTTAAAATCCGTAAACGCAACCCGCAAGTCAAAAAAAACTCACAATTTCACGCAATCCTCAACTGCGCCCAGCCCTGATAACAATCTTCTTAAAAACTACCTGTAACATTCTCATTAATATTCCACAATATTTTTCTGACTCAGAAAGTAAAAATTTCTGTCCTTCTTTGCTAAGACCATTTGTAACAAAATGTGAAAAAATTATGGAGCGGATAAGTACATATTCTTCATTATCCATTTGTACTCGAGTATAAGGTTCCAAAAATGTTACAAATAATTTTTGTAGCAATTTATTTAATCTATAAAATTAAAAAAATATATTGAAAAATATTTTTTTAATTTTACGTAAAATCTCCTTTATAATATTCTCCACTAAAGGTTACAACTACAGGTACTCCGTCTGATGTTATAACTGTTTTTGACTTTCTATTACAAGAGTACCAAACGTTTGCCAACGCTACAAGAGGCATAGATATATAGGTAATTTGATAAATCTGTTTAAAGAAATATTATTTTAGTACTAGTTTGCGCATAAAAAAGATTTTTTTCTCCATAAAATTTTTTGAGGATTTTCACAGTTTAAAGTCGACTTTGGTGTCCGTAATATTTCTTTGCTTTCGGGACTTACGGTCAATGAATCTGGTTTAGTTTTAATAGTTACTTAGTTAATTTTAAAATAATCCAAAAAGCTATGTGGCTTTTTGTATGTGGCTTGTGGTACTAAAACAGAGAAATGTCATGAATATCTTTTTGGGATCCATATTTAAATAATTAATCTAAAAATCTTTACAATATCAGTTAATTCCAATTTATAGAAGAAAGGCATTGTTTTTGCCATATCAATTATTAAAATTAAATCTTCAATTAATGTAGTAGGTCGTAAAGAAAAAAAGCCATTTTTGTGAACAAATTCAATATAATCCGATTGTAGAAAGTTTTGTTCTTCCTTTATTAAAAAATAATTTCAATTAAATTTAAATTTACATATAAAACATTATTTAGCTCTTAAGAAAAAAATTGGGAATCGGTGAGGGGGGATTCAGATTTAGCCCGTATTCTTAATACGAAAACACGAAAAGAGGGTTCGAAGATTAACGAATTAATCAAAACACGATTGGTTCTACTAAACAGTAGAGATGTCCAAGACTCATGGTCTTGGGGTGTAGTCTTGGTCTCGAGTCTGAACTTTTTGGTCTTAGACATCTCTCCTAAACAGGCTTCCGCACATATGTACATACAGTAACTTTTTATTGTCGTTAAATTAACGCCTTCCCTCCATAACTAAAAACAAACCAAATATTCATAACATAAAAAAATTGAATTTTCTTTTCGATTGATTACTTCCTCTAATGTTTTATAAGAAAAATCATAATTTTTATCAGTTATCTGTGTAGGCGAATTTCTAATCTTTTCAACGCTTTCCTCTAATGATAATAAATTTCCAATTATTTTAGTTTCTTCATTTTCAAAAAATATTGTTTGCTTAAAGAATATTTTAAAATTAGTTGTATTTAGGCAACCATTAATGTTAAAATAGTAATATATAAAACTAACGGACTTCTGCCGTCATAATCGAAAAGCACCCTGCTTTCAAAATATTTTTCGTTACTGGGTTTAGGAACTGCCTAAGCGTACTTACAGATACATTCCAGGGGTGTGCCAGTTTTGCGTTCCGCGTGTCGCTTTTTTAAATTGACTTTCGCCTTTTAAAATCCGTTTCGGCACACTCCTGCTACATTCAATTCTTAGATAAAATTTTTAAGCCCCGAGGGTGTATGTAAGGTCTGTTTTAGCAGATAAATACTAATTGTATATTTAAACGTATTTTTTACCATAAACGAGAAATCAGTTCCCTCACTGCTCGCAAAAATTTTATTTCTTTTTTCAGGATATTTCCCAACTAAGGCAAGTTCACCCAATCGTTGTTCAATTTTTGAGCGTATTTCCCATAAAGAGATAGTAGATTGTTGTGGATTTCGTAATTTTTGTATATTCATTCCCATTAAAATACATTTATCAAAACGGCAGCCTTTGCATTTATTAGACACTTTAAAAATTTAATCAGATTAATGAGAACCTTCTAGCATCGCTCACAATTAATGAATGTGATTGAGTGTGTAACATTTTAGTTTTAGAGGCAAAGTTCTATTCCAGTTCAACTCTAACTGGAAAATAATTCAGATAAGAAAAAAATGATTTCAAATTTCGTTTTTGAGCTAAATTCTTTGGGCGGGGCCAGATTCTTTGGTTAAGGCAGAATATTCGGGATTTCTCAGGATCGGCATCGCTTAGTTTAGAAAGCCCGAATTCTTTTTTGGAGTCCGCTTCTAAAAAATACTGAAAATAAATTCGATGATGATAAATCATGTTTGGGGTTGAACCGGAATCATCAAACTGTGCTAAAAAATTAGAAAAATTCACTCAACCACAATACACTGTATAAGTGTGTGTTACTCTTCAGAGGTGCAATAAAAAGGAGTAAATATCATTAAATTAAAATTAAGTTAATTAAATTAATTTAATTAAACTTAAGTCATTAAATCCGCAAATTTTCATAAATTCCATACCTCTCATAACATCACAATTCCCATCAAATTTACATTTGAACAATTCTTCCGCATTAAGAGAACGTCGAAAAAAATGTTTACAACCTTTGGAAAAATTAAAATTGAAAAAATATTTTGGACATATTTTTATACATACCATCACAACACATAACATTATAATAAATAAAACCGCTAGCAATATATCCACAAATACAACATTTAGCTGGAAATGAAGTATTTTTCTTTACCAATTGAAATTTATTTTTATTTATTTCCATTGATAATCTCTCTAAAAAAATTTTTTTTTTAATTTTTCTTCTTTCCCGAAAAATTATTCCAAGAGAAAGAGGTTAAAGAACTTATGTTCTTACGCTAAGGTTCGAACCAAAAATCAAATTAATATTAACTTGAACCTTAACAGCTAACCCACTCAAATAATTTAATAAATTTTTTTCCATCAACTTTTACAAAAAAGGGTAAAAGTTGATTATTTTTTTATTATTTTATTAATAATTAAATGATACAAATTTTTAAAAATAATAAAATATATCTATACAATTTAGAAAAAAGGAAATTAAATAGTAAATTGATTTTTAATCGAAATAAAATTTTTCATTTAATTTTAGGCTTTAATGGAGAATAATTATTAATTATTTGAACAGATGGAGAGAGAATTGTTTTAAAAAATTGTTGCCACTAAAATAAAATTTTTTTGCCGCTAAAAATGGAAACTTTTATGTACCAAGAATCCTGTCGTCGCCAATACACGAAAATCGGGAATTCCGGGTTTTCTGTTGTTGGGAATCCCGATTCGCAAATCGTAATCTGAAAATGTAATACTGAAAATTTTTTCTCTTTACCTATTTTTATTTTTTTTGCTTTTGGCAATAAAAATTAAGTATATGATAAAGTATAATGTTGAAAAAATATTTTTATCGAATAATAATTTTAAATCTACATGAAAAATATAACGAAAACGACGGTCCTTATGTTTACACACAAACTATTGAATTTTTGTTGTCCATCATCTACATATCTCTATTCAATGGCCAATAAAATTCACAAAAATCGGGAATTCCCGATTCTCTAAATCGTGAATTTATATTTATTTATGTTAGCAGTATCCCTGGGGGGGGCAGGGAGAGAGATTAATTTTAGCTTGCATTTTTCTTCAAATTATCTGAGAAAATTATTTTTGTTGCTTTGACAACACAATTTGTATGTTTAATTTAAATATTAAATTAAATATAGTCTAATATTAATAATTGTAGGCTACAAAATAATCAAAAACTATGAATTTAATATGCAAAATTATTTTTGTGGAAATACTATATTAATAATAATGATTAGGTATATTTAAAAATGAAAAAAAGTAAAAAATCATTGTTATATGTAAGTAAATACAAAATTTCCTAAATATTTTTTATTTTCATGTAAATGTGGTTAGTGAATGTATTGAATAAAAGATTTAAATATTAAAAAGGATAGTATGTCTATATTAAGGACTATATTTATAAATTTTTATGTTAATAAAACTAGAAAAAATTTTATGTGTCAGATGAATTCGAGCAGAAAAGTCTAAAGATCACGTGATTAATATGTCTGTTAATACTTTCCTAGTAAACACTTATATTGACTAACCCACCCACTTAACGTTCATTATTTTAAGGTTTCCATTTTCGTATAAAAAGAGGTAGATTTTCCCGATCACTAATATAAACTAAACAATTATATTAGGGCCCTGAATTTTTTTCCAATTCAGAAACTGGATTTTGGAGTCATCTCCCGGCCGGATTTTTTAAAATTAATTCAGTTCGGTTTTACTTTTATATAAGTAATTCGCAGACAAGTGGTGAATATATCCAGATTCCGGAACGGTCTCGCGGTTTTTTGAAGCTTTCAAAATTTTTTTTAAATTACTGAAAATTTAATACTTACATATTACTTAAAATTTATTTAAATTTAGAGTATTTTTAGAAATTAAACAAATAATTAAATTATTAAAATAATGAATTTTTCAACTTCAAAAATAATTATTTTATCAGTAATTTTTGTTTTGTTGATTAATTATGGTAAGGCTGAAGGCTAGAAATTAATATAAAAATTAATTATAATTTTTAAATTAAAGGTAGCGGTTGTAGAAAAAATGAAAAGCTCAAATCTTGTGGTTGTGATGGTAGTTGTGCGGATAAAGTATGTGAAGATGTTTGTAAGCCAAATTGTTATTGCATTGATGGCTATGTTCGGAATAAAGACAATGCTTGTATTGATCCGAAGAAATGCCCATAAATTTAAACTTAGATAAGAATTAATGTTTTATTATTAATTTAGCAAATTTTCATTAATTATATTATCGTTAATGAGAATAAATGGGGATTAGCGAGGGTGTGCTATTGAATTAAAGATTCGAATATTAAAAAGAATTGAGTAATAAGGAGGTAAGTAAATTCCTCGAAACTTTAATAAAATTAAGAATATTTATATATTTTTATGTAAAATTTGTACAAAAACTAAAACTCATTTCTAAATACATTTTAGTAAAATTGAAAGAAAACTTATTTAAATTAATTTTATTTGTGTAAAAAATTTCTTGAAATAAAAAAATATTATTTATCGTTAAAATATAATTTTTCTAGAATATTTAATTTATTAAAATATTTAAAAAATAATAACAAAAATTTTAACAGAAAAATTTAAAAAATATTTAAAATAATCATACATCATAGTCAATTTTCTTCTTAATAACCTTTCCTTTGTCATAATCTTCGAATTAAAAAAATTTATTTGCTAATTTTAATAAAATATTAATTAATCACCTAAATTATTTGCACTTTTTAGCGAAAGAAATATTTTTGTTAAACATTTAATCATTATTATTTAGTGATCAAAAATTATTTTTGCGTTTATTTAATAAAAGAAAATTTTTCATTTTTAAACTACTTTTTTTTGTAAAAAAATTTGAAATTAAAATTTCAAATATTTTTCTCTAAAATACCGTATTTATTCGAATAGTGCGACCGGTCGGTTTATTCTTCACCCAACATCCAGAGGGTCGGTTTATTAGAAGGGGTCTGTCTAATAGAGAGAGTCGGTTTTTTCAGTTTAGAAGGTCGGTTTATTAGAGACGGTTATTTTTTTAAATTTATTTAAACTTATATTATAGCATTTTTAAAATTAAAAAAATAATTAAAGTATTAAAAAATGAATCTTTCATCTTCAAAAATAATTATTTTATTATTAATTTTTGTTTTCTTGATTAATCATGGAAAGGGTGAAGGCTAGAAATTTATTTAAAAACTGACTATAATTTTAAATTAAAGGTATAAAATGTGGAATAAACGAAGTATTCAAAAGATGTGGAAGTTGTGATGGTTCATGACAAATCCAGATCCAATATGTCCAGCAATTTGTAAGAAGGGTTGTGTTTGCAGGTCTGATTTTGTGAGGAATAAGAACAACATTTGTATTGATGGGAACAAATGCCCTTAAATTGTGTTAAATAATTTTTAAAAATAAATTATTGTTCATTAATTTAATAATGAACTGTTAATAATTTTTAAAAATAATTTTTAAAAATAAATTATTGTTCATTAATTTAATAATGAACTGTTCTTAAGTTTTAAGAAAGTCTGATTCTTAAGTCTGATAAGAGAAGAACAACTGTAAATAGTTTTTAAATACACTTCTGTGGGTATTAAAAATAATAAAAAAGATAAATTATTTTAAAAATAAATATTTAAAAAATAATTTATTAAATTATTTAGTACCATCTAGTAATTTTTGAAATAACCTTTAAAATTTGTTATTTATTTTTGTTACAGAAAAAAATTTTTAAGAATTAGTAAGCAAAAATATTTTTACTTCTGTTTACTTAATCATTGAATAATAATCATTATAAAAGAAATGCTTTTTTATTTAGAAAAATTATTCTATTGAAAATATTTTAAATTAAATATTTAAGAAATATTTATGTATTATAATTAAATAACCTTTTTCAATTTATCTTTATTATTTACTTTAGTTCAACCTTTCTTCTATTAATCGAGTAATTCTTTTTTCAATTCTAATTAAATTATGAATCTGGGTCCGATAATTACTAATATAAGTATTATACTTAGATTTCGTTACTAACCATAATACAGTCGAACCGTATTTGTCTTTTAATCCCACATTAAAGTTAGTTTTATATTTGGTTGGCAACTGGGAATACCTTCAATTGCAAGTCAATTGTGTATTTTTTACTATTTACTACAAATGAAGAATAAAGTATTAAACAAAAATAATTTTCTAAAAATTAAAATTAGTACTTTAATTTTTGTAAATAAAATTATTTTTAAATTAATTTTTATACATTTTTAAATAAATATATAATTTAGTTAATTATCTTTACTATAATTTTAAAGAATAAAAATGAATAATAATATTTCATCAAAAATATTAATTACTTTAATTCCAATAATTTTTATTTTAATAAATAATTCAATTAATGCAGGCAAGTATTTTTGTTAAAAATTAATTTTAAAAAATAATATTTTAAGCTATAGATTGTGGACAAGACCAAATCCCAAAGGAATGTGGATGTGATGGAACCTGTAGTAATCCCGATCCAATATGTATTCAAAGTTGCGAGAAAGAGCCAAAATGTCTGTGTAAAGAAGGATTTGTTAGGGATGGAAATAATGATTGTATTAGGAAAAGTGGATGTCCTTAATGAATTAATTAATAATTAAATTAATTTAAAATTAATTATATAATCAAAAAATGTCCAAAATATTCATTTAATTTTTAAATAAAATTAAAAGTAACTAAAATATTTTTTATTTCTTATTTATTAATTAAACCCTAATTATTTTAATTTTAAGTGATATCACTATTTTTATTTAAAAAATTCCTTTTTGCAAAAATTGTATTAAAATTTTAATCAAAAACAAATAAAAATAATTTAAAAAACAACAAAAATAATTAAATAGAATTAAAGATTAAAAAGAAAAAATAAAATTTTTACCTATTTTATTTGACGAACAAATAAAATTAAAAAGGTGTAGGGGGTTGTTTTTGTGTTGTTTTCTCAATTTCTTTATGTGTGGCCAATAATTAGTTTACACAAAATAATTTAATTTAAAAATATTATTCTCAAGTTGGATAGGAATTTTTTGTACTTATTTTGAATTTTTGTTAATCTTTCCTTGATAATTCTTTAAAAAAATTTTTTTGGGAAGATAATTATTTAAATGTTGGACGGCAGTAAAAAAATGTCTGACGGCTTTTTTAAAATTAACAATTAAGGAAAATATTTTAAAAAATACCCAGATTCCAATTTATTTTTTGTTAAAGTATAAAATAAAATTAATTGTTATTACGGGTCATTTACGTATTAAATTTTAGTCTTTTAAACTGTTAATGATAAAATTCGCTGAATCCATTTAAATTAAATACTTTGACTTGATGAGGCAAAATTTAAAAAAATAAAAAAATGATCTTATGACGAAAAAATTAGTAAATTGTGTATATATAAACATAAACAATAAATATACTTATATTCATTATTAAATTTGAACAAACTTTTAATTTAACTTTTGTGTAGATTTAATTAGTTGAAGGTTACTAATTTGTAAGCCCTAAGCAAATAGTATTGCATGTCTGCAACTTCGTTTTTAGATCACACCCTAATATGGTTTGATTCAGGATTCGATAATGTTGGACGGCTATCGAATCCTGTTATTCAGTGAGCTTATAGTCCATAAGTATGTACTCTAGTAATTAATTTTCGGGATCTTTATTTATGTTTCTTAAGCAGAATTTGTCAAATTTCCTCCTTTTAGGGTCCTATTTACAGATAAAATTATTTTTTTGCAATTTATCATTTAATGTTTAGGTCAACGGTTTTTATTATTTATTTTTTGAAAATTTAATTTAAGAAAAACTACAATAAAAATGGCAAATTTAAATTTGAACACTAAATTAGTTTTAATTTTGTTAATTTGTTTCCTTGTATTTCTCACAATCTGTATAAGTGAACAGCCAGGAGAAGATGAATCTGATTTACTGTAAGAATTTTAAATATTTTTTTTATAATCTATTATAAGTAAATACAAATTAATATATTTATGCAAATTGTAAGAAAAGAATCATGGAAAATCATTTTGAAAAAATCATTTTCGAAGAATTTGTCCTCGAATTAGGATTGGTAGTATTCGAATCAGATATCCGAACTGAACTTTCCGGAATCTTCGTTCATAGCAGGGTTGTTTCGCATTTTAGACATCGAAGATTTTTTGTTTTGAAACATAAGATATATCCAACTTTACTTCGTAGTTATCCCTTCCCTTAATTCGATACTTTTACTTTTCCTTTAATATTTTTAGGTAAAATTTTATTTTACATATTTAGACTAAAATCTATTTCATTTAGTGTTCGAAAACGACGTTGGGGTTATGGCTATGGTGGATGGGGCGGATGGGGTGGTGGCCGTGGTTGGGGCTGGGGACGAGGAATGGGAGGCTGGGGCGGCTACGGAATGGGAGGATGGGGATGGGGACGTTGAAAAATTAAAATATTTTTTGGAATTAATTGAAAATAAATATTTTATATTGAATTTCGAATTATTATAAATATTTTATTTTGAATAAATAATTAATAAACAAATTTGCTGCTTATAAATATGTATTATAATGTACAAAATTTAATGCTTGTATTGAACAAAATTTAGCCTACCCAAATATTCATGTAACTTCTAAACAAGGAAATATTTAATATTTTTTAATTAGATTCATGGCCGTAAGTACATATTTTACAAGAGAGGTGATTCCTAGAATGGCAATGATAGAAATTGATCCTGAGGAAATTGAAGAAAGTGAGTAAGATGAATTTATTGCTGAATTATAATTTGTATTAAAGAGGGATGAGCAAAATTGTTGATTTTTTATTTGAATTATTAATTATTTTTAAAAAATTTTAAAAATAAACGGGGTCTTCAAAATTAAACGAAACGGTATACGGGTCTCAGATAAACGGTATAAACGGTATACGGTTTTTTGAAAATTAAACGGTTTTGTCCCACCCTAAATTAAACCCTGATTTTTTATTTTAAGTGATATCTCAATTTTCGTTTAAAAAATTTTTTTGCAAGAATTGTATTAAAGTTTTAATTAAAAACAAAAATAATTTAAAAAACAACAAAAATAATTAAATAGAATTAAAGATTAAAAAGGAAAAAATATTAAATTTTTTCAGTTGTAAATATAAACAATAAATATTATTTTCATTATTAAATTTGAACAAACTTTTGATTTAAATTTAATTAATTGGAGTCACTAAGCCCGAAGCCAATAGTGTTGCATGTCTTAACTTTTCAAATCGCACCCTAATATGGTTTGATTCAGGATTCGATGATGTTGGACGGCTCTCGAATCCTGTGATTTAGTGATCTCGTCGTCTATGGGGGTGTACACTCGTAATTAATATTTTTCTTAAGCAAAATTTCTCAAATTTCCTCCTTTTAGTGTCCTATTTACAGATAAAATTATTTTTTTGCAATTTATCATTTAATGTTTAAGTTAACGATTTTTATTCTTTTGAAAGTTTAATTTAAGAAAAACTACAATAAAACACTAAAATGGCAAATCTAAATTTGAACACCAAACTAGTTTTAATTTTGTTAATTTGCTTCCTTGTATTTCTCACAATCTGTATATGTGAACAGCCTGAAGGAGATGAATCTGATTTACTGTAACAATTTTTTAGATTTACTGTAACAATTTTATTTTTGCCCTATTTTTGACCAATTTCACCCTATTTTTGCCACATTTTTGAGTGGCTGCGCCCTGTTTTAGTGGTTTGGAAAGGGTCACTCTGTCCTTCCCTTAATTCGATCCTTTTACTTTTGTTTTGAATATTTTTAGGCGAAATTTTGTTTTACATATTTAAACTAAAATTTATTTCATTTAGTGTTCGAAAACGACGTCGAGATTATGGTTATGGTGAATATGGAGGATATGGATATGGAAGATATGGAGGATATGGAGATGGAGGATATGGAGAGTATGGAGGGGGCGGCCACGGAAAGGGAGGATATGGAGAATATGGAGGGGGCGGCCACGGAACTGGAAGAAATGGAGAATATGGAGGCTGGGGCGGCCACGGAATGGGAGGACGGGGAAGGGGACGTTGAAAAATTAAAATGTTTTTTGGAATTAATTGAAAATAAATATTTTATATTGAATTTCGAATTATTATAAATATTTTATTAATTCAATTTGAATAAATGATTAATGAACAAATTTGCAGTTTGTATTGTAAAACTAGCAAAGTTTTCTCTCATCCTATAGAATAAAGCAATAATTAAAACGATCAGTTTTTTGTGGAATGGTTAACGACCTTCTACATATCTGAAATCTCTCAATATCAAGTCCTAATATTCCTTTCCTATGAGGGGTTCGATCGCTTTACTTTATATTTTATGCTAATAATTATTTATAAAAGAATTTTAAGACCAAAAACAGTAAAAAATAAGTATACAAAATTAATATTTAAAACATTAACAATTATCTGAATGTCAAAATATTTTTTAGATTTTAATATTTAAGAATATTTTATAAATAAATGCTAAATATACATAACATAAAATTATTACATTTTTTCAAATTAATCACTGTTTCTAGCATTAATTTTAAAAATATTTCGAAGTTTTGGAAATAAAAGGCAACCATTTTTGCCTTAATTATTATGTATATGAATTAAATAAATATATTTAATTATTAAAATGATTTTTAAAAATTATATACTAATTATAACATTATTTTTTATTATTTATATCAAGCAAGAAATTTTTACAAATGCTGTTGAAACCTCAACAAAACGTCTTCTAAAATTTAAATTAAATTTTTAAGCTAATTTTTAAGCTATTAAATGTGGACAAAACGAAGAACCACAAAAATGTGGATGTGATGGAACATGTAAAAATCCAAATCCCCCTTGTAAAACTAAACCAGTTTGTGGGGCACAACGTTGTCTTTGTATTCAACGAATGGTAGGAAATAGAGCCATTGAAAGATTAGTTCGTAATCAAAATAATAAATGTGTCGAGGAAAAGAATTGTAAAAAATAAGAGAAGAATGATTGTTTTTTGAAAAAAAATATTTTTTTGGAAATAAAAGTAAAATTACCTTGTACATATTTAATCACGAACTACTTAATTTGCAAAAAAATAAGTTAAACTACATAGTTGGAAAAAAGTTATACTAGTAGTAGTTGGATAAGTCGATGTGAAAATCAAGCCATAGTCTTTCATCCCGTCTCTGAAATCCGATTTCTAAAAAGAATCTTATTAAAATTTCACGTAAAATTTTTTAGGTGGGTTAAGGTGGGGGTGGGGGGATTTTATTATTTTTCGGTGGGCCTCTTTGAGTGCTTGTATTAGATATGGTCATCTAATAGAGCCGGGCTTTAATTAGAGCATTTACGGCAATTTGTATACCAAATATATACATACATACTTCTTAGAAGAATTAAATACCTAGATTGAATTATTTAAAAATAATAATTTTAAAATTAATTTTTTTTAATTTTATCATGTAACCAATAGATCGAAACTAATTAATCAAAAATAACTACTTTTCCAATTTTTGATATTTAATACCTATTTTGCATTTTATTATTAAAATATAGATTTGAAAGAATTGATTTTACAAAGTAATATTTATTTGTTTCCTATAATTTTTATTTAAATATTTATTTTTGGTTACCAAAGCAACTTTAAAATATTATTATTATTTTCTAAAAGAAAAATTAATATTTAAAGTCATTAAAATATTACTTTTCTATTCCGTTGACTAATATAATAAAAGCTGCGCAAATATTGAAAAAGAATTTTTAAAATATTTTTTTACTTTTTACCGTAAAAAGATTTATCGGATTTTTTAAAATAAATTAATTTATTTTATATTAAAATAGTAATTGATGGGTGCTAAAATTATTTCCTTTCATTTATTACTTGCCAGACATCTTGCCAACATAAAAAACAAATATACGGGTTTGGGAATCGGGAATTCCTGACTATATTAATTTATTAAATTAAATTGTAAAAATTTTAGAATACATTCGAACTTCATTTTTAGATACCCCTAAATTGTCCCTTATAATTAGAGTACTTGGGTATCGCTTAGACAGTTCTTCCCCCCAGTGGCCACTCAAAATTTAAAAGAAACATCTTAAATCTCAAGTTTAGGATCGAGGTTTCGACTACCTATATTATACTTAAAAATAAAAAATATAAATATTCACTCATTTAAATAATAATTTTAGAAAATGGAAGAAAATAATAATTTCCAACAAAATTTAAATTATCCAATTTCTAACCAAAATATAAAGGGAAATGAAAATAAAAAATTAATAATTAAAAAGAATTTTCCAATAAATTGTCGTGTTTGTGGAGGTATAGCTAGTGGGTATATTTATTATGGGGTTATGTGTTGTGATGGTTTGTTTTAAATAAATTTAAGAAAAAAAATATTTTTAGGTTGTAAACATTTTTTTCGTCGTTGTATTGCAACAAAGGATGAAATTAAATGTAAATCCGAAGGAAATTGTGAAATAATGAATGGTAGAAAATTAATTTTTTGTTAGATTATTTAATAATTTAAATTAGTGCCCGACAGAATAAATATTTGAGGGATCCCGTATGCGGGAATTTTTTACTAAAATATTCACAAGACTGTGTTTTACTGGATAAATGCAAAAAGACACTGCATCCTGTAAAAATCCCGTAAAATCACAAGCAAGATCTTTTGTCCAGCGCCCAGGATTTTTTCCTGAAACATTCACAAGGCATTGTTTTCTGGACAAATATATTAAAAATCCCGCAAAATCTCACACAGCATCTTCTGATCACTAAATTAACTCAAAATAAATTTAAAAAAATTAATTTACAGTTCCAAACAAATGCAAAAGTTGCCGTTTCGATAAATGTATTTTAAAAGGAATGAATGTAGAAAAATTGAAAGGTCCTCACAATAAATCTATATGGGATGTTCGTTCATTAATTGAACAAAGAATTGGTGAATTAGCATTAAATGGGAAATATGTAGAAAGAAAAATTGAAAATTATGTTAATATAAATTTAAATGCTGTATTTTCTGTTATGGTAAATTAAATATTTTTTAACCAAAAAATTAATTTATTTGATCCCTAAAAATCAAAAATTGAAATCACAATCCGTTTTGGGATGGTTCAAACTAGGGTAGCACCCCGAAACCCCGGCCCGAGCCAGATGAATTCTTAGGCAAAAACCCCGACTCGAACCTCGAAGGCTCTACCCCGGCAAACCCCGATCCCAGACGATCCCGCCCCCGTGGGCTCGGGATGCTACCCTTGTTCAAACAAATAACAACGGTGTTTAGGTGTTTAGGAGAGCTCCATGTATTTTTTTATCTTCTGGACGCTTTACTTTATTAATATTTTTAAATAAAATAAATATTCAAATTAAATTTAATTTTTCTAGCAAAATTATTTAATCGAAAATCAAGACAGTCAAATAATCGACTATCTTTTATTGATAGAACAAAATGTTCAAAGAATCAGAATTTCACCTACAAAAGTTATTGACAAACATTATGATTATTCTTGTAAAACATTAAATGATTTAATTAACCAACAAGAAAATTTAATTTCGAAAAGTTGCGAATATTTGGTTTGTTTTTGAAGTTTAAATAAAATTTTTTAAATTAATTTAAAGGATGAAGAAATAAAAATGCCCGATACAGATTATTTTGAGTTTCTTAACAAAAATGGACTTTTCGCTATACATCCACACTCCTTAATCGAGGATCTTATGTTAATTGTTAATATGGCTAAAATTATGCCTTTCTTTAATAAATTGGAAATGTCTGATATTGTAAATTAATTTTTAAAAAATTTAAAAGAAAAAATTATTTTTTGAAGGTTACTCAACTTAAAAATATTTCTTGGGCCATTATAGTTTTAGCAACTGCATATTATTCTAGTACTAAATTGTCAGATGCTGTTATAACAACAGAAAGATTACCTATGTTTGCAGCTTTTAGTGGAGATTATTATAAAGGAAATTTAACGTTAAGTAGTTAATTTATGATAATAAACTTTTGTTTTAGAAAAATTTAAATGTTTTAAGTGTTTGATTTAAATAATTATTTTATTGTAAGGAAGAGCAGGAGGTCGCAGGATCGAAGCCTGCCCTGGATTGAACTTTTACCTCGTTCTTACTTTACGTTACCTGTAAAGACCTATTTAATATAAAGCTAATTTAATCAGAAGCTAAAATTAATAAGCAATGAAATTTGTAAAGAATATAAAGAAAATTAAGCCAATAATTAAAAATAAATTTCCTTTTTTTTATTATAGAATAAATAATTTATGCCAGAAAATATTTTTAACAATTATGGAACGTTTCAATAGGTTAATGATAAATGAAGAGGAGTACGTTCTTCTCCGTGCCATAATTTTTTCACATTTTGTCACAAATGGTTTAACACTTAATGGCCAAAAAATAATGTTGGATGAGGCAGAGAAATATTCAAAAATATTAATGAAATTATTACAAGTTTGTAGTAATAAAAGGATTTTTTTAATTAAAAAAAAAAGATTCTAAATTTCATTTCACTTCCTGGTTCCTTAATTTCACTCTTTTCCTATACGTATTTCGATAGATAACTTCAGTATCTCAAATTAGATAACTACACGCAAAAATAGATTATGTTTCAAAAATCATCTTTCTATTAACCCAAATGGCCTAAAATTTAGCCTGAACTAGACCCCTTCGGGGGGATCTACTCGACAATAGCCTTGACTTTTAAATCTTCAAATTCAGCCTTCCATTTCAAAATATATTCAAATAAAAATATAATATTTATAATTAGAAACGACATGGCCAACTATCAGGCGTAAAAAGATATACAGAATTGCTTCAATTAATCGAAATATGCTTCAGAACTGGATATAATACAAGCCTTTTATTTAATTATTTGACTAATGTTTACGAACCCGGTCGTTTCGAAAAGGTGGTTCCAGAGGCACTTGTTGAATTGCTTCAGTTAAAATGAATTGATTCAAAAATATATAATTTAATGGAACTGGAAGAAACTTCTTAATTTTATTGTTTCACATCTTATTTATTTGTGTTCGATAAAGAAAGAAAATTCTTTAAATTTTGTATTTATCTGTTTTTATTTTCATAAAACTTTATATATAAGAAAACATTGGCATTGCAAATTTTTTTAGGATTTTAATCCAAAATATAAATTTTTTTCGTAATCTTTTACAATAACAAAATGTAAAGGTTCTTTATCAAGGTATGTACATTTACAGTACTTACAAAAATACTCTAATTGTCGACACTCAACTGTCCTGATTGTAAAATTGGCAATAAAGGACGATTCGGTACCGCCGATAAGGGTTGCACGCAATTGCGGATTGCGAGTTGCGGATTACGTAAATTGCGGGTGTTTTGGAATTGCGAGTTGCGGAATCTTTTTTTCAATTGCGTGCAGCTCTGCAGCCGATTCAGTATATTTATGCCATGGCCATACCCCTCTTGATATACTGAGTCGTCCCCTAAAGTGAGTCGTCCCCTGAGTCGTCCCCTAATTTCCAAACTTAATTAAACTATATTTAGAAATTTTATAGAAATTTTAATATGGCAGAATCCCAAGTATTTAGACGACCTGCATTGCCACTACCTCCTAGAGGTTATTATTTAATTAATATTTTTTAAATTTATTTTAAAGATGTTAAACGTCCTCGACTCGACGAAGGAGCACTCGTACCAGTTGAGGGAACAAGAAATGAAGAAAATGGTCAACAACGCCCTTCATCACTTCAAAGTCCCATAATGCTTTTAACTGGACATGAGGGGGAAATTTTTGGGGCGAGATTTAGTCATGATGGAAATATATTGGCTTCGGTTGGATTCGATATGAAAATATGTAATTAGTTTAAAAGTTAAATATTTTTCTAAAAATTTTTTTTAGTTTTGTGGACTGCTCGTGGAGAATGTGAGAATTTTTCAACAATTACTGGACATAAAGGAGCAATTATGGATGTACATTTTAATACAGATACAAGGCAATTTTTTTTTTTTAATTATTTTAAGTCTTGCTTCTCATGGTTTGAGGACTTTTTTAAAAATTTTTATAAATCGAAGATTTGTCCTCCTTTTTGAAAGTCTTTTTTGTTGAGATTGATTCATTCCGATTTAGAGGTCGGTAAAATCGCATTCACGGGATCCCGTAACGGGATTTTTTTCAAAAATTTTCGCAGGACAGGATCCCGCAGGATTAATCCTGTAAATCCCGTTCGTCGCTTAAAATACGGGATTTCGGGACAGGATCCCGTAAAATCCCGTACGGGATCCTGTCCCGTGCCGACCTCTAATCCAACTCATTCTCCTTCATCTAGTCTTGGACGTTCAACGTTCAACTTTTTCAAGTTTAGATTTGTTTTGATTCATCATTTTATAATTTAGAAAATCTGAGCCAACTAAAAATCTTTGATTTTCTGTTAATATAATCTAAAAAATATAAATTTTTTTTTCTAAAAAATATAAATTATTAAAATTCTTAAAATATATTTTTTAAAATATTTTTCAAGTTATCTCTATACTTGTTCAACAGACAAAACTGTTCGTGTTTGGGATATGGAAACGGGCGTTTGTGTTAGACGGTTTCGCTCACATTCGGTTACTTTTCTCTAAAATTAATTTTAATTCTTTAAATTTAAGGATTTTGTTAATGGTTGCCATCCAGCTAGAAGAGGGCCTGATATTGTTTGTTCTGGATCAGATGATGGAACTATACAAGTTTTTTAAATTTAAATTTTTGTTAATTGTTTTTAAGGTTCATGATTTACGAAAAAGAAAACCGGCAATTATTTTTGAAAATATAAATAAATATCAAGTTACAACCGTCACTTTTAATGATACAGCTGAATTGGTTTTGAGTGGTGGAATCGATAATGCTTTGAGGGTTGGAATTTTTTTGGATTTTTTTTAAATTTAGTTAATTTAAGTTTAAATTTTGGAAATTTTATTTTCTATTTAAATTCTGACTAGGGAACATATGCTACCCACGAATTTGGTATTTTTTTGGTACCATTCGATAGAGGACCAATCAACCAATCCCTAGGACTGAAACTTTGAACGTCAATAACTCGGCCCAAAGTGATTTTGCAAGAAAACGGATAGCACTATCCAATACAAAGTATATATATATATCAAAAAATATATCAAATTCGTGGTAATATATGTTCCCATGTGAAAAAAATTTTTCTTAAAGGTTTGGGATATACGTAAAAATTCCCTTCTTCATTCAATGCATGGTCATTCAGACACAGTTACAGGACTTTGTTTAAGTCCAGATGGAAGTTTTGTTTTATCCAATGCTATGGATTGTACAGGTAAATTTTAATTTTTAAAATTAAAAAAATTATTTTTTAGCACGCATTTGGGATATTCGTCCTTATTCAACTTCACAAAGATGTGTAAAAACATTGAGTGGACATCAACATAATTTTGAGAAGGTTTTTTTAATTTTTTAATAAATAGATAATGCGTTCTATTAAGTTTTATATTTTACTTTGGTTTTTATAGGTTGAGAGGATTCCGTAACATTGTTGTGTTTTTTGCCTGCATCCACTGGATCCAGAAATTTCAGACTTCATATTAATTATGTCCTAGCTATATTTAGTCAAATTCTCAAAAAATTTCGGATATCAGAACCTTCTAAAATTTAATAAACTAGCGGGACGTTTTCTAGGAAGGACGTATACCCCCATTTTATTTCTTAAATCCGCCCTTAGATATGCCCGTTTTTTCTAGTTTTCTGAATCTAAACTTTATGTAACGCATAAACTAAAATAAAAGTAATTAATTTTTAAAAATTAAAGAATTTACTACGATGTGCTTGGTCTCCCGATTCTCATAGAGTTTCTTGTGGTTTGTTTTGATTTATATAATTTTCTTATTAAAAACTCTTTTTAAAGGTTCAAGTGATCGTTTTGTTTATGTTTGGGATGTTGGTTCTAGAAACATAGCTTATAAACTTCCTGGACATCAAGGATCTGTTAATGCTGTTGATTTTCACCCAACAGAGCCAATAAGTAAACGAAAAAAATTAATTTATTTTTATTTTTTTATTAATTTAGTTCTTTCTGCTGGAAGTGATAAAAGGATATTTTTGGGGGAATTGACACGCTAATGAAAATAAATTGTAATTTTTTTAATTTTTTCAATAAATATTTTTGTTTTTTTTTATTTTGATAAAAATGAAAAATTAAAAAACGAAGTTTATTAAACAAGTCATATTAACTGTGTTTCCTATAATAGACTTCTTAATAAAATGTTCAGTGTCACTGATCATTTTCTAAATAATTTCCTGATCTAAGTATTTTGATTTAAATGAAAAATTTTTAATTTATTGCAATAAAGAAAGGAAAACTCATTTTTCTGTGACACATCTAAAATTTTCTAATTTCTGATTCTTACATTTACAAATTCAACGCCTTCAATAAAATTTACCAATACACATTTGATCGTATTTTCCATAGGCCTTATAATCCAAAAATATCAGCATTTTCATCTTTTATTCTCCTAGAAAAAATGATGAAGAATTTTAATATTTTTAGGTTTTTAAGTGATGCTCCTATTTTTGCTACATTTTTAACCGATTTTGTTCTATATTTACTCTATTTTTGAGTATTTGCGCCCTATATTAGTAGTTTGGTGACGGCCACCCTTTGATCTTTCCCAAAATAAAACAAATATTAATTCATAAAAAGTAATTTATTTTAAATCAAATTCTAAAAATTATTTAAATTTAATTAATTTTTCTTTTTAATTCTTAATTAATTTTAAAATAATTTTATTTATTTTAGAGTTTCGAGTAATTTTTGGTCATCTAATTTTCTTTAAATCCAATTAATATTTGTTAAAAATAATTTTGTTGTCTTTCTTTTGAATAAATTAAAATTTATTTTTATTTAAAATAAAGTTTTAAAACATTTTTTAATATACAGTGGTTGGGGGTTTATTTATTTTAAGCTTCAGATATTTATTTAGTTCCATATTTTTTTATTAAGATTATTTTTTCATAAATTAAAAAAATAACATAAAAAATCCTTTTTTTTATTAGTCATGTGTTATTTTAATGGCTTTTCTAATATTTTTAATCCTTTTCTTAAAAAATTAAAAGATTTTTTTTAATTTTTTAAAGCAAAATATTTTTGTTGCGAACTCATTTCTATTTTGTCTCCTCTCATTTTATACCACGCAAAATTTTTTTTTAAAATTTTTTCTCAATTTTCTAATAAATGAAAGGCTTCTTCCCACTCAAAAAATAAAATTACCAATTAATTTTCTTTTTCTTTTCGCCATTTTACATTAAAAAATTTCTTCTGATATTTTTAATCCGGATTTGCTGCGAAAGTGTTTACTTTTACATTTAATATTAGACAGATTTACTGTAAATTTTTATGATTAACTTTTAAAAAATTGGTGAATTATTAAAGCAGAAGGGATTTACAAACATTATCCTTCAAAGTTTTTTTCTAGTTAAGTATTTCGGGAAAATACAAAAAAAAAACTTTAAAAAATATTTACAGCGTGCGGCAATTTTTCCGCCACTTTTGTTTTAAGCATATCTCACTCAAATTCAAGATAAATTGATAATTCTTTTTTTATTTTCTCTGAGACTTCACTTCTACCTATTTTCTTAATTAATACACTCTGTTTCAATATTATAGCTCCACCTTTTTCTAATAACTTATCGAAAATCGAAGAAATTTTCTTGAAAATTTAAGAGTATATATTTGTATTAGTACATATTACTTACATTAATTGTTAAATAAGTTTCGTTGCGCTTTAATGCTTCACTATATTTATGTTTTGCTATTCTCAATGTAATATTTTTGTAGTATTTTATTATGTCCAAATATTTTTAATAAAAAAATGTTTTTTAAAAAATATTTTTATTTTTTAATAAATATTTTTCCTCGTTTTTGGTGAATAATAAAAATAAATAGATATACGTATAAATCTTTTTTTTTGTTTTTTTTCTGCCAAAATGCAAATTGGAAGAAAAGAATTATGTATAAGCCAATGTGTAATAAAATTGGTTGTTAGAAATATATACATAGTATATTTATGTAGATATGTGTTGGGTTTGAAGATGTAAAAGCAATCCCAATGAAATAGAAAAAATTGTATATTATTTTTAAAAATAACTAAATAAATAAATTAGTTTTTCTGGAATGTTTTTGTTTATTTTTATTATTTTATTTATTGAATAAGCAACATTCCCCCCCCCCAAAAAATATGCGAAAAAACATAAAACAACGCAGGACACCGACGAAGACGCTCAGCATCTTTTCTCTCCATTTTTCCATTATCTTTTCTGCCGCAAGACGCATGCATTATTTGTAAACGTAGCATTAGACAGACACACTAGACATTTAAGTCGTCAATTAAATTAATCCTACACAGATTATAAACCTGCCTGTCATCCCAAAGTCTCGGAAAATCGAGAATCTAAAATTCTTTTAGATTTTTTCTATTTCTGACTCGGAAACCCCAATTCCCGAAACCGGAGATTCATTTTTATCTCGGCAGGATCCCTGATATACATTAAAGATGTCTGACTTAATACTTTATTTTACATAAAATATTTAATACATTTTTACTTAATTTTATTAAAATTCTTTTAGATTTCGATTTAAATTGTTTTAGCCATTTAATAATTATTAATTATTAATTTTTTTAAACAAATTGGTTTTTTGTGTTTTTCATTTCTTTAAATAGAATATACTACCTCTTCTAATCCCAATCCTCCTTTTCGCACCAAACAAGATTTTTTTTTATTTTTTAATTAAATAATATTTTTTGTTTTTTTTGTATTTTATAGTTTATTTAAATTAATTTAAAATATTTCTTTTTTTCAATTTTTTATTTTAATTTTTAAAAATTAATTCATCAAACATCTCCCATGTTTTTAAAATTATTTTTTTCTTTCTATATTAATTTTAAAAACAATTTTTTGTAAAAATAATTATCGGAAATAAATTTATTATTTTTTTCCTTATTTTTAATTATATTTTAAATGCACTTTTGTTTTTCCTAGGATATTTCAAAACACATTTTTATTTTTTTATTTATTTATTTTTAATATTTTTATTTGTCTTCTTTTTTAAACTTCCGTCCCCACTTGATAAATTTTTCTTTGAGAGAGTGGAGGGGGGGGGGGGATATGGATATATTTTTATTTTTTTATTTTGCTTAAAAATGCATGAGAAAAGAAAAATATTAAAGGAAATGCTTCTCATTTCTGCGCATTTTTTATTTTCTAAATTTTTAAAAAAACTTTCAGTATTGAGTATATTTTAAATAAATAAATAAATATTTTTCTTAAATATTTTGTTTTGAAAAATAATAAATTTTGAATACATTTCTATTTTAAAAATATTATATTCAGAAAATTTTGTAATTTACACTTTCTCTATAATATTCTTTATTTTATTTTTTATTTAGAATCAACATTTACTTTTATAAATTTTTTTCGTCCTCTTTCTTCTGTTTTTCCATAATCTCTAAAAATCCAATATTCTTTATTAATTTATTAATTAAATTTAACATTTATTTTGACTTTATATTTTTTCAATTTTTATTTATTTTTTATTTAATTTGTATTTTTTAATTAAAGGAATTAATTGGGTATTTATTTCTATTTTTAACAATTTCTATTTTTTATAATACATTTAAGCTTATTTTTAATTAAGATTATTTTTATTTTTGTTACATTATTGCAAACTTTACAAATTTCTGTCGAACACTAATTTTAGAATTTCTGATTTTTTGGTTTTTAATTTACCGTATAATCTGTATTAATTGCCCTCCCTCACTCCACTTTCATTAATTATCTCATCCAGCGATAGATTGAAACAATAATTACCCCCATCAAATGTCCTTAAACACATTCAAATTTCAAACCTCGTATAATTACCCTCCCTCAATTAATTACTCCTTCCAGCGGAAGGTCGAAACAATAATTACCCAGGGTAGTTAATAAAAGTTTTAGGGTATTTAATCTAACCTTTATTTCAATCTCTAAATAAACTTTTCCCACACATTTCTGTCAACTTTCTTTTAATTTTCTAATTAATTTTTCTTAATATTCTCAAACTTCCTCTTGCAACATTTTCACATTATTAAATAAATATATTAATTAAATAATTTATAAAATTTATTTTTTTATCAGAATTTTTCTCATGAGACTTCAATCTTTGATTTTTTTTTAAATTATTTTTAGATTTTTTCGGGGATTTTTATTGATTTTATTAATTTAATAATGATTCTGAAACTTTTACATTTAAATTTCTTACCTTTAGAGTTTGCCAGAATTTTTTTTATTTTTTTAATTCAAAAAACATTTTAATATTTTTTTAAATATTTTTAATTATTTTATATTTATTTAATAAATACACAAATCTCTATAAAAAGTACATTTATTTACGTTTTACTTTACTAAAAATTCTCCCACAATTTTAATTTTTATTATTAAAATTAAATGTATCATCCAAACATTTCCCAAGGATTTACTTTTTTTTCTTTAAAATACAAACACACATCATTTCTTTATTTATAATGTACTTAAATAATTAAAAGAAAAATTTAAATATTTTTGGATTAAAATATAATTAATTTTAGAGAAATATACACTACTTAATTAATACCTATACTTATTTTAAAAAATTTATAAAAAATTTTATATCCCTTATAAAAAATATTCAATTTATAATTTAAACATTTAAGGATCTTTGTAACTGCACTAATAAATCCAATTTGTTTTTAATAATAATAAAATCTCTTAAATTCTAACCAAAGATCCCAGATTAATTTTTAATATTTCTAATTTTATTTAATTATAATTTGGTGTTTCAAATATTCTAATTTTTTTAATTATTGTATAATCTTTATAAAAAATACATTTGTATAATTATATATTTAATACATATAAATAAATCTTTATTTTTAAAAAAATAATTACTAATATTATTCTTCTTAAAATAAAAATACCAAATGTTTAAATTAAACCCTAAATTTAATAAAAATATTTTTATATATAGAAGTTATTATTAATTCTGTTATAATTTTAAGTTATATTTAAAGAATTTTTAAAGTAATTTAATTAGTATATTTTTCTTTTTT